TACACTATTTGAATTAAGTAATATAATTAATAATGTATTTTTCTTTTAATATTGAATTACACAATAAAAAATAACTTCTCTTATTCCTTAAGTTACTTAATAACTTTATCTCATAACTCATGTGAGTTGAATTTATGATTTATGTATTTTATATATAAAAAAAGACTTACTGGCTTTCTATATTAAATAGAATAAACTTAAAATAATAATACTACAATTATAATATCATGTATAATTTTAAATTAATAATTATAATATGTTATTAAATAAATATAATATAATATTAAATAAATAGATATATATAATAATACGAGTGAACTGAAAAAATTAATTATATAACAAAATATCATATTATAATTTTACGAAATCACGAAATATTATTAGTATAGCACTTTCTAACTTAGGATATGTCGAGTTTTTGTTCGGCCGAATCTGATGTTGGTGTTAAAAAACAAGGAAAATGCGTCGTCAAGCCAAATGCGCTTACGTGCATAAAATTCTATATATTACCCACAAAGGTTATTGAAAGCAGATGAATCAATTTGTAATATTCCTTAACATTGTTTATCAATTTGCTTGAGGAGCACTTAACAATGGGCGCATTAATCTTCTCAAAGTTGCTTACCAAGACTGACATTGAGAAGGGACTGTCCATTCCCTCCGAGCATCTCAAATCCTTCCCATGCTTCGGAAATAGGCACCAAGTGTATTTTGATGCAGTAGATGGATCGAGGAGGCAAAGTATGGACTTTTAAGTGCTCATTAATCCCCCGTAGGGAACTGTATCCAAAACCTGTTCTTTCTGAAGGATGGCTTGATTTTGTTCGGAATAAAAAGCTTCAGGAAGGTGATAAGGTTGAGTTTTACAGGGAGGACAACCTAGTTACCCCGGCACAAAACAGGATTATACCCATGAAGACTGTCAAGCAGCGGCGGAGGGAGGGGGGTGCGAGGGGGCGCTAACCCCCTGAAATTTGAAAATCTTTTTAAATTAATGCATGAAAAATTATCTCACTCCTCTAAAATTTAAAAATTTTATAAATTAATATATAAAAAATTATCTTGTCCTTGAAAAAAAAAAAAAATCTGATTCCGCTCCTGCTGTCAAGATATTTGGGTCGCTTGTCGGGTATTCTCCGACATCCGACGATACATAGGGATTTATTTGTACAAGTGTAAGTAAATCAAAAGTCACTAGCATTGCTTATCTTATCTCCTATCCTACTGGTGCTGGTTGGACTATTGTTTGAGTCTTTGAGACAGTGAGACTTTGTTGGTAGGTGCAGGTTATTAGGTCCTGTTGGGGGTTTTCCTGGGTCCTCTGTCTTTTATTTAGTGTTTTTTTTTTCTTTGCTTTTTAAATCTATAAGGGAATGAGTTTAGTTTTCGAAAGTTTTTTCGTTTTTTGAACAGTGTACAATTTTGGGGTGGGAGATTTTTTTTTTTTTTTTTTAACGTCTATAATTTAATTTTTTTTTTTTTTTTAAGTGTTAGTAAAATTTAAAATTTCAATCAACAAATTTGATCATTTTAAGGTTTGGAAACAAACAACTTGAATTTAAAGATCTAATTTAATTTTCAAAAGTATTTTACTTCTTGTGTCATATAATATGGTATTATATAATTATATATGTATCTTTTTTATTCAAAGAGTCACATGTGATATTATATTCATAAACTCTTTTAACATTAGATTATTATTATAAATTTGTAATTTTATAAAATATTATAATTATATCATTTTATAATAATTTTATTTTTTTATTTTTTTGGATCAATTAAGGAATAAATATCTAGGAATGAAGAAGGATTTAAGATTCACTCGGCTTGAAGAGTATGCTTCTTTTGCTTTAAACAGCTAGTATTTTGTATTGATAGATTTGATTAGGAGGTTAATCTACAATGGCGACAGAATGGACGGTCAACTTATGGATTTTATTATCTCATTTATTTTGCTGTTGATGCAACGTCTTCAATTTTGCGCTAATTTTCTCTTCCTATTAGTTTGGCTGGAATGACACTTTTCAATGGCTTTCCAATGTCTATTATATAATACATAATATGATACTTTAAAAATAAATAAATAAATAAATAAATACAGAAGCCTATCCAGCGAGAAAGTGATTCCAAAGTGGCAGAGCAAACAAAGACCAACTTAATTCTGCTTTGTCATCTTTTAAAAGAACGGACTAAGTGGAACCATCTATAATCTTAATCTCTATAGGCTGCCAATTATAGGGGCAATCAAGAGCAACAATCTGGGGCTAACTTTGAGAGTTACTCAAATTAAGGCTGAAAATGTCAATCCAAAGCAGAAAATTTATGAGGTTTATGTGGCACTAATTTTTGGTACAGTCAAAACCCACAAAGATGTGGCAATGTAGGAGAGTATCTAAGCCAGCCATGGGAACAGCTGAAATACAACGTGCTAGAAACCAATAACCTATGGAATGCAAGACCCAACTAGTTTGAAGAAACCAAGGACTGATGAGAGTAAGTTCAGAATGCTGGCAATTGAAATCCGGTAACCTAGTTAGCACGGGTCATCTTTACTTTTGGCATAGCTTTCTTTAACTGACGAGCACGTTCCTTTGATTCTTTCTTGCGAATAGCTTCTGCACTGAGCTTTGCCTCAGACTCATCTAGCATTTTTTTCCTCTCGGCCTTCTTTTTCTGCAAGGCTTCTTGCCGAGCACTTTGTAGTTCTTTGTATGCCTCCTGAGCAGCCTTCAACCTAGCCGCATCTGTTTTAGACCGTGCCTGCAATGGAACCAAGAAGCCCTATAAACAATATCAAATTTGCAAATAAATTCACTGTGAAAAGTGAGTTCTGACCACCCCACCTGTGAACTGAGCTTATACCGTCCAACCAGATCAATGTAGTAGGGCACAAGAGCCACCAACCGAGTCATATCAGCCATATGGTTCACATCAGGGAGGGCAAACTTGAATAAAAGCATCTTCTTGTGAGTGCCAGGGTGCTGATCTGAAAAATGCATTGAAATGAAGTCCTTTCCATATTTCTCAAAGGCTTTTTCACCAAAAACCTGCAGAATACCAACCACAATTTGAATTGTATGTTTAAAGAGTCAGTTCACAAAGTTGTCCAGCTGGCTAACCAAAACCTGAAGAATAATGGACACAATCTATACTGCACAATTTAAGATAGAGATGAGTACGCCTTTTAAGCTCTGACTTGAAGCATGCACGCCAAGCAGAGAGGAAGAGGAACTTTTAAAGACTAAAAGGCAGAAACTGAAAAGCAAAAGCAACAGTCAATGATTCTCATGCAAACTTCTTTAACCTCAGTAAATGAAGCACCTTATCTGATTAAGCTGGTTTGGGACAAAGATCTATGATTTCATGCATAATAAGCACAACTATAGATCTGTAGATAATCAGAATGACTGTTTGCAACCATTAGCCCCTGATACTGTAAAATCACTGAGAAATCATAGCGATTTGATTTGTCTTTATAATAATCTACTACAGCAGCCACAGGAAAATCATGCACAAAAGCCTCCAATGCACTCATAAATGATGAGTTGACCAACAAAAAAGGTTAAAAATTGCATATATTAGTGAAGTTTAGTCATTTTCCAATTGAGACGTCTGCATGAATGTTTGCAAAAATGAATACAATAGAATTAATATTGGAAATGATCACTCCAACTCATATCAAAATTTTAAGTCTGAAAAAGGGAAACATGATCAGAGGAACCTTAATAGCCACATATGAAACCTGCTATTTATTTCCAGTTTATGCGTTCCTACAATTTGTTCAACATTTCACTCAATCATAATTCATAGAAACATCAGATCAGACATTCATCTAACTCAGCATTAAATGTTCAGAAATACAACCCATTCAGCTTCACTATAATTGTCTTTCATATGCTTAAGTGGTCTCTAGCCTCTACCATTCTAAGACAAAAGGACACAGCTCATTTGTACCCATTTAATGGACCCCCGAACCAGCGCATTACACAGAATGCGTATATAAGCTTCCCAAGTCAAAGCAAGTAAGCAAGAAAATGCAAATCACAAGTAGCTAAAAGTTAAAAACCACGATAGGAGTAATAGTCACTATTTTTTTGTTGCCAAGGTGATCTATAACGCATGGAAAGCTATATGATGTTACACTTCAGGACTATAATACCATTTTATAATGCCAGACCAAAAAGAAATCATGCAATAGTTAAAAACAGAAAGCAGAGACAATTGTAAAACAGGGGAAGGCCAATAATATCAAGAAATTCAAAACAGGATCTAAAACTTTGGGTGGGGGGAACAACTTAGACTATAGATGACAAAAACACATTTCACCAACCTGTTCAAGCACAGCCTCAGTGATCAAATCACCAGCAACCTCCTTGGATTCAGAGATCACAGAGAGCTCCTCAGCCACCCACTTCCTCACGCTGGGTGGTGTTATCAAACTTGCAAACCTCTGCAAGTCATTCATCTCCTTCTGCATCCCTTTTGCGAGCTTCTTCTTAGCCAACGCAAATATCACTTGGTCCATGGCATCATCATTCATGTAGACCTCAAAACTTATCTCATCCCTGCATGGCACCACCAAATTGAACAATCTCGATATCAAATCGTGTCTGCTCTTCAACTCCATCGTTGCCAATAAACCCTGGCAGTATCTGCGCCCACTGGCATAGAATTTGAAAACGTTCTGGCCTTCCTTCAGCAACAACGGTGAATCATCGGCGTCTCCAACACCCAAAAAACTAAAATTTTTCTCAAAAATCGAGTCTTTTGTTGCAAATTGCGCAGCCCATGACAGCGCCAGATTCTCGTTCTCTCGTTTTCCAGTGAAATAGTTGATGATAAAAGCAATCAAGAAAGACCCACAAACGATCTCCACCGTAAACGATTTCTTCGAAGCAGCAATCTTTTCAGGTTTCTTTGCTGTTTCCGGATCTGGGTCATTGGGAGTTGCATTTTCAGCAACCTTGGGTACTTCTTCAACCGGTGGATATTCAACGGGCAGACCCTCGAATTCATCCTCATCCCAATACTCAAAACTAGTTGCCGTTTGCTTCGGGACATCCGATTCAGGTTTCGATGGAGTATCCAAATTGAGATCCTCCTTAAAGTCTGGATCCGAACTAATTTCGGATTTGGGATCTAAAGGAATCGAAGACTGGGATTGAGTAACGGGAGGAGACCGAAGCAAGTTGGGATCCAAGGTTTCTTCCTCTACCCCATCTTCCTCTTCCGCATCGAAGCCTTCGAAGTGGGAATCGGCGAGAACATGAACAAAAGAGAGATGGGTAGTCACAAGAAAGAAGAGAAAGAAAGAAAGCAAGAGAAAATTAAGCTTGCTGCCACTTCTACTATTCATTCTTATAGTATTTCTGTGGGACTTTCTTGTTCTTCCTTCAGAGAAAGTATGAGTAAGGGGATTGAAGAAGCTCCGAAGGAGTGTAGAAATCCCTTGTTTTCTTAACCTGGAGAAGATGAATTTCTAATGCTAATGCGGGATGGTACGTCCCTTTTTTTTTTTCCCTACGAACTATAATTGTTTTTTTTGCTTTTTTTTTTTTAGGGGGGGTAGGTTGAGAATGACGCAATAGGAATAGCAGTTTTTTCTCAAATTGCCCACACCCACACCAATTTTAGGATTTGAACTTCATGAAAATGTGAAGACAAAATTTTTAATTATTAGTGTGTTTTTTTAGAGGATTCAATAACTTATAATAGAATAATCATTTTTTTTTAATTTATCTAAAATGTGAAGACAGACATTTTTAGTTATTAGGATGTTCTTTAAAGGACTTAACAACCTATAATAGAATAATTATTTTATTTTTAATGTATTTAAACGATTTAATAGTTTATCTATTTTATGCCATTAGATCACATAATAAGAAGTGATTATTAACTAATAAGTACTACTTTTTACTTTAAAAATGGTGAAATTAATTTTTGTTTTAATTGTAGATACTACATGTTAACTTTTTATTAGTTCATTTTAAATTAAAAATCAAAAATTATTTTTTTAATTCAAAATTTTATATTTTTGATAAAAAGCATCATAATTATTACCTAATTATTATCTTTTATCTCATGTGCTAAGAGTGCAGTATATATAAATCCATGATTTAAACTTTAAAGGGTTTAAATTCAAGATGCCTGGCTCTTAAAGTTTTAACATTTTATTCACTTGATTCAACTTTGGACGACGATAATACTTCTCTTTTTTTTTTGTACTAAATCTTTCAACATTCAAAAGTTACATTAGATTTTATAAAGGAGAAATGCCTCTGATGCTTATCTCTTTATTTTTTTTATTTATAAAATTTGAACTTAAAATTTTGTTTTAAAAAAATCAAGTTATTTCTACGGTTACTTCTCTTATGACACAAGTCCTTTGGCGTTTTGTGGCTG